GTATTTTAATCATCGACATTAGGGTAAAGTCTAGTCTAATTAGGTGACCCTTCGTTTTTAACGGACAAATAAAATGTACGATTTAATTTGGAAAAACTGAAATCGTAATTAATTTATATTAAATACAACTTCGTGTATTTTGACTCCTCTCGTAGTCGTTCGAACTGTATCGATTTAATGGACGGACGTTTACGTTCTAGAAGGCAATATTTCTCCGACCAATTTTAACGGAAAATTAAATAATAAACTAAGAGTATGAAACATTGGATATGGGAATGAAAATTTACTTGCAACCAGGAGCTAATAGAACTGTTGTGTTTCACCAGCAGGCGATGCAGCAGTTAAAAGGTATTTATATCCTCGAGGAAGGATATGTCTTCCGTGCTTGTACTCCTCTGCGTATCGATAATACGTGGAAATTGATTTCTTCCACAAAGTGAAAAAGTCACATCTGTACTTTGGAAATATACTATAAGGACAGAAAATGTATTTGTTTCACTTCTTGAAAGCGTTATTAGTTGTGACATTGGTCTCATCATTATTGTTATTCTTGCAATCGATACTTTGCTACGTTTAATAAAATTCAATATGAAAATGCTATTATTAAATGGTTACATCTAATTTTTAAAGCTGTTTTCAATATTATAAGAGGAGTGTAAGCACCATAATTGCAACTAAGTATTCGTAACTGAACTTTGTAAAACTGCAGTGAATTAATATCAGTTTGAATTTCTGTCAATTATAAATCATATCTAAAAAGGTTGTTTCTTCTGTTCCTCGTGAAATAATCGTACCAAAATCGATAGAGTCAAATAAAATAAAAAGAATAATCTTTTTAAACGGTAAATAAGAAATCGTCTCTTAAGGATATATATAAAAAAAATTAACAAAACTACAAATACTTATTATTCCGTGCAGTGTAAAAATCGATGCAGTAATGTAACGTTTAACACAATAGAATATAAAATAATTAAAATTTAGTGTTCACGTGACCTTGCAGTCCTGAAAGCCTGCAACTTTCCAACCTTGGGGCTCCAAAAATGGCCGGGGAACGCGTCGCGCGAAGGGTCGATTTGAATTTAATTAACTCAACCATAGCCAATTTGGCAAGATGCTCGCATTATAGAAGCTGCCGTTAATCGGATGAAGTCTGCGGTTTACGTAGGAACGGTAGATATCACGATGCTATGAAATGTCTTGGGATCTAGTGGGTGTTCTTCCTCCTTTTCACCCTCTCCTGAAACCCTTCGCCGCCCCTTCCTGTCCCGCCGTCTTCCACGTAAGTATTTGACTTTCAAATTGCACCTAGGCACTGCCGATATAGTACGTTATAACCGAGCACTCCATTTCGAGAAGCAATTCCGCTACCTGACGAATAGCCATTACCTCGGACTAACGATAACTCGATTCGCGCCCCGAAACCCTAGATTTTTCGAGAGAACCAACAGAATTTTGTATTCATTGCATTCAATTCGCGGTCCATTATCTGTCCCCCGATATATTTATCCTCTTGCATCCCTTCGAGAATACGATCCTCCAACCGGTTAAAATCAATTGCAGCATCGCGTTCCATAAAGCATGAGAACGAGATACATTTTTAAGTTCCATTGCAGTCAATATAAATGCTTAAACGGGAAAATGAAACAGATCCGATTCAACATTAACTTTCACGAATAATACCTCACAATTATGATACCGAAGACTGCAAAAAAAATTCAAGAAAACAGACGATCCTTTTCTTCGTCTTAGAACTAGATAAATCCTTTAAATATAAACGAACTCTTTCAGATAATTTAATAACGTCGAGAAGATCAGTCTGTGATCGAACGTTTGAAGAAGCTAGCAATTGTTAAAAGAAGATATTGGTCGAATACTATCCTCGTTTTGTATCGTAAAAGGACAAACATTTCTAAACATTTGCTACGGAAACTTGTGTCAGGCGCGAGTTCTGCGTTAATTGTTATAACATTCCAAACAGAATCCAATTTAAACTTAATGCATTATCCGTAGAACACGTAGCTCTACGTTTCTTGTTGACTAATGACGAATTGCACGATTGGGGGCGCTTTGTTTTTGTCGATTAGCAATGGCTCATGGACCACTTAACAGAATGACTATGAGACTGAAGAGTTTGAAGGCAAAGGGTTCACATTAAGTAATAGCTAATAATACAAATGCTAATGCTTAATCAACACCATGTCTAAATATGTCAATATTAATATTCTATGTTAAAAAATCGTCGATTCGTAAAATGTTTTCTTTCCCGTTGCATTCATCTTTGGCATAAAATGATCAATGCCAGAAAATTGGATCCGACAATAGAGATTCCACCGTAATAAAAGTATGGTACATCCGCCTCGAGGCTAGCGGGATATACCGCTAATAAAATTTACATTTCTAAGCGCTACATCACGCCGAAACACGATTCCGTTTTTCTCGGGAAATTTTCCGCGGCGCTCGCCTATGCGTTCGCTAAAAACGGCGAACGACCACCAATTTTGTTACATCCTCGATCACGCGGCGTGTCATTTCGCCCGCGGGGGGGGACGAGCTGATCAAAGTAATCTCGGATTAATTAAAATTTCCTACCGCCGATTTGAAATTCCAGCCCTCGCGGATATCTGACAGCGACGTTGATTTAGAGGCTCAATAAAAATTCCGCGAGTACGAAGGGCGAAGATTGCGAGTTTTACATTCGTGCCTCCTACGTTCTCCCGCGCCTCCTTTCTCATGGAAAACGATTAACAACGGAATATACATATTTATGCGCGGTAATTTTTCATTTCCGTCCTCGACGATTTTTATCTATGCCGATAAACTAATGAATATTCACATCATTCCGAATCGCGAGGCTCGTACCGTTTAATATTTTTTGCCCCGCGGTGATCACCGTCCTCCGAACTACGTCCAGCGAATCGTTTCCCGGTGCAATTTCGCTCGGTGACAATCGTTAGGTCGGTTCTCCCCTCTAACAATAAGCGACGGGGGGAGAAATTATCAGTGGATACAGACCACGGAACGGATAAAAAAATAAATAAATAAATAAAGAGAAATTGGATAGAAAAGTATTTTAATTGGATGGGATCGTTATCTTTTGATTCCGGTGCCGTCAATTTATTTTCATTTGTTTTCTAACGCGCTGGATCGCCACGCGTGTGCGTAATTTTCCGCGAGTCTCGCTGAAACGGCTTGTTTACTCGCTGTTACGCAGCCCCGCTCGACGCGAACGCGTTACAAAATTGGCGGGTTCGCAATATGCAGAATTCTTACACAAATGTAACAATGACCGCGTGTTGTACACGACGCGCCACCGACATTAAAACGGGACAGTGTGCGTGGCAAGGTGTTTCCACGAGCAGGGGACTGTATCAACGTATCCGCGGCGAACGTTTCGACCGCGAACAACTGCGTTTTCCGCAAAATGGGTGGAGCAAGAGAAATTTCCACGCAACGTAAATTTACTCTAGCAGATTGGAACGTAATTTTTTCGCGTACCAGAACGATGGAATGGAACAGTAATATTTATACGTTGAATAAAATAAATAAGGATAGGTATAAACAGTGATTGGCTTTTAAATGAGAACGCTACATAAGTACTGAATTTGAAAATCACATGTGTCTAAACAGGTCTAATAGTTTGAAAATAAAATATATACTCGACGTTCATCGGCTACTGTTCGGCATGCTATAGTAATTAAATTAATTGATTTTACTGGAATCTACATAGTTCAATGTACCTACTATGGCGAGTAAATTTAGACTGAGTGTACAATATCTAAGATACACGAGATGAACACAAAAAGTTAAACAGAAATTAGAATTTGAATAACAGAATAAAGTTAGTTTTGAAATAAAATAAAATCTAGCTGGAAATTATTTAACAACTAAATTTCAAAATACATATAGGAGACAGTATAGATTATAACATTTATATTCGTTAGCTACGAGACGAAGCGTCTTTTAAAACGAATTTTGAGAAGACAAGTTGGTTAATAATGATACGAACACTCTGTATACAAATTTAAATTCATCTTCAATTAAATAAACAATTTGTAATCCAGTTTTATTGGACGCCAGTTCTTTGGATGCATAGTGTCGAAGTAAATGTGAAATTAAACATAGAAGACAGCATAAATTGGAATAGTTGATGTGGTCATCGGGTGGAGGATGAAATGCCCTTTAAAATGAGCGTTCGAACAAGAGAATAGCTCCATTAGTTTCGGAGATATACCGATTTTAGTTTCGAGTCGATGCGGTGGCTAATTCCGGAGATATGAGGGTCCGGAAGCGTTTGTTTACTTTCTTACTGCGGCCTTGTCAAGGTCGTTGACCGGCACGTGCTCGTAGTAACTAGGTCAGTCAGTCACGAGTCACGTACGAGAAAGAGAGGTCCGGCGCGACGCGTCAGACGAAGACAGAGATAATCGAATTGAAAAAATTAACCCTTTACATAAATTACGATATCTCGAAAACGAAAAGACGGATCGACAAAAACCAAAAGCCATTTTAAAGGGGAGACTTTGCCGCTTCTAACAATGCCACAATAATTAATAAAACACTAGTAGTTTCGGAACTGCACGCGTGTAAAGTTTGTGTACTTTTAAAATATCATATCTGGTAAATTATTTGGATAATTTAACTCGTAACAATTCTATTAAATGCCCCTTTATACGTCCAACACTTTAAGAAGTTCTTTGCAAAGAATATATTTTAATGCATCTTGTAATATTATCGAGATCGGTGAAAATAACCACGAGGGTGAGAATTTATTGCTTGGTTCCCGATTTATTTTGCGTGTGACTCCGTTCGGGACAGAACAATCGAATCGTAGGATGGTACGCCGTCGTACGAACTTATGGAACGATCTAATACATGCAGATTCGAGACGTACGAGTTACTATCGCTAGCTGTATCCATCCCCAAAGTGGACCGCGCGTCTCGTACACGTATACAGCGAGAAGACGCGGTGCAATGAAAATTCAATAACATACAAAACTCACCAGAACTTTCACCATGTATACTCTCCAGGTCTAAAATCGAGCCCCAGTCGAATCGTCGCAGCCGGACAGTTTAAAATTCCTAGTACGCGTCGGCGAGGTTCCCCTGCAAAATTTTTGCTCCGGTTAATGGAAAACGGTCCGGCGAGTGTTTGCCGAGCAAATATTTTAGTACAACAGAAGACGAAGAGGGCGGGACTGGTTGCCGTTTAACATAGCGGAATGGCTACGGGAAAATTGGGTTATATAAATATCCTTCGGATGCGTTGGAACGCCACGGTAACGGAACCGTCGTGATGGTCTTTTCAACACCTGTACGTACAATCGTAATTAAGATTCGCGTTAGATCCGCGTACTGGCGTGCTTTTAATTATCCAGCGCATTCATCCGCGCGGCCTAACGAAGTAGCGCGCGAGACCGCCTGTTGCCGATGCGGACTACGGGGAAGGTTAACGAAGTTTCGCCAAGAAAGAACGAGGGAAGTAAAAGCCCGCCACCGTCTATTGGATTCCAACAGCTTGTCGCGGGAAACGTGGTCTCGAGCAGCGCGAATGTAACCCGGATCTTCGTCTCTTTCCCCCATCCCCCTTGGGGATCGTTCTTTTGTTCCGCGATTCTGTTCCTAATTTCATGTTGACGCGTCCAGGGTACGGGATAACGAGACCACGTGTCCGTATCGTGGATTTTACAGAATTCCCCGTACGTCGTGCCTCGTAATTGTCGCGATTTCCGTCATGGTACAGGTCTGAAACAAAGTCACGGCGTCAATGTATCTTCCGGGGAACTTGGTAGAATCACTTGGGCGTCGAAAGAAAAGACTTTACAGGTCTACTCTCCAAGAGGAATAAGATACGTCGATGTGAAATTTAATTCTATGTGAATCCAAGAATTAATTTGGAAATGTGAATTTACTCTTCAGAAGAAATGTGTCAAGATAAAATTCTGGTGTGTTTAAACAATCGTCGTCAGAGAATATTGTTGAGATGCTAAGAGAGAATTTAATTTAATCTCAGACTAGTTTTCTAAATTGTCAGTGTTCTGTTCGTCGTCTGCTTCGTGGCTGACGCTAGGATAGAAAAGTATCGCGCGCTCGACGCTCTGTTTGCTTCGCCTTGTCATTTAGTAATTAATAAATTACAATGGTAATTATGGAACGTTGGTCAAAATGGAGATGACTCATTAGCCTAGCAGAGTCGTTCGCTGAACATGTGGTTAAGACAGATTGATATGCCAAACTTTCGTCCTATCGGATACCCATTATACACGATTAGTGCCACATCCGTTGTCTGCCACAATTAATCTACTGACGACCACTAATTCAATAATAAGTATCGAATACAACCATCGGCTGCAAGATATTTCCGAAAGAAAAACGTAATCAATAACAGTAATCGTTCGGATGTATTATATTACCGAGTGAATCATCAAATGAGAATTTGATACAAGTCCCGATAGACACATAATCTCTCCGAATATAGCTGTTTATTCCTATATCTAGTCAAAATGTAAACTAATTCCCACAAATGATATACAATCTATTTAAAAATATTAATTGGTTTGTCAGCCTCGATAAAAAATAATTTCACCCAAAAGAATTCTTAAGAAATCGTAAAAATCCATCAATATTTCTAATTTAGAATCCAGACTTTAAATCCGTATTATATGTACTTTAATAGAAAAAAAACTTTACTTCGATCGATTTCTATTCTTTTCAACAAGCATAACAAAAGAGTATTACATAACAGGTAACTAATTAAATACAATCGAAGTGAAGAATTAATGAAACGAACGTTTTTAATTGTGCATCCAAGCATATTTTCCTTGCACTCAGCTGGCTCCTCGAATATAATTACTGAAATACAAATTCAAGTCGAAACATTAAAAATGCTTACCTGTAAAACCGACATTATTTATATTTGAATTTTATTGATATTCAAATTCCCAACGATCCTTGTTATAATCCTCCCCAATTTATTTACGACGTTAATATTTGAAATCCACCAAAGTTTGGGCATGTAGCAACGACTTGACGTAGTTCTACGCGCAATTATTAAGCAAAGTATTCAATTAATGCGCGTTCTATTAACATAACACATCAGCCTTTCTTTAGCGACCTGGAATTTTATGCGCGCTGCATCCACGACGCGCACGTGAAGAAGCAACAAAAAATAAAAGAAAAAAAGCTCCGCGGACGCCGTTACGCTCCCGTATTCCACAGTGTTAGCATTTTTGAGTTAATTACTGGCGCAGAACAAAAAAAAAGAAAATGCAGAATTAGTAGTTCCGTGAGTGAACAACGGAAGTCCATTGCTACCCCCGCTGTACATATGTATGCACGTTCTATTAGATGTACAGCCCCCGAAATCGTGATACTCGACGAAATTCTAGTGTTTTTGCACCGTGGACGAGCGAGGAATTAAAATCTTCCGGCGCTTTGAACACACGATGAAAGAGAATCACTTAAAATGGTTCATTCTCCAGTGACGAAAAATGCTCCGTACGCTGTCGCGTTTCCTACCTACGAACGTTATTTGTCGTACTTTCAAGATTTTCCGATAAAATTAGTCCAAGGTTTGTGCTTTGTTAACGAACAATGGAAGAAATATTTAGCGCGTAGAATTTCAATGTGCTCGACGAACGCTGGTTACTTATTGTTTCTTCTTAATCTGATGAATCATATACTGTACATATTTTTAATAATATCGATAGAATTTAAGCATCGAGTATTATTTAGACTACAATAAGACATCGATGTAGCTAGTCTGTCGTAAAAATTGTGGATTATTATAATTTCTATTACCAAATTTATTAATACATAATTCGTCGTTTGCTTGTAAAACCATTCTACGAGTCTGAGATAAAACAACGGAGACCACGAGAAGACAGATTTGCAGAAAAAAAAGTAAGATATTCAGAAAACCATTTCCGATACCTGGAACGAGTATTTGACTCGCGAAATAATTCAGTCTGCGGATCGATCACTGGATGAATGAAATTATTTAGCATGCAAGACGGGTAAGAATGTTTTCTGATATCATAGCAATCCCACCGTAACGTTATCGTTCTCAATTTAATATTAACCTCGTCCTTACACCTTTCTCGTGGAATAAAAAACACTATGACATTGACAACTGTTTGTTCCACGTGTGAGAGTATTAGTTTAATAAGTGATCACATACATGAGAAATTCAAATTTTATACCGAAGTTGGTAAAGATAAAATTTTAATTTCACAATTCTAGTTTCTTAATATTTGCACGTTTTCTATAGTGTAAAATATTAAATAGACACTTTTTGGTTTTATGATAAAGCGTTTCAATCAGGTTTACGAAAAAAAAAGACTTATAAGGAAGAGTTATTTGCATCGTAAACGCTCGTTGCGTCGCGAGCGGTGTAGAATAAAATAGCTCAGCATGGAATAGTAAATGTCTCGTTTCATACACCATGAACGCTTTTAGTTTCAAGCGCGTCAGAGTCAAAGAGACACAGTACCAAATTGTTCGAGGTAATTTTTGCGAATTTAAATAAACAAATCTGCCCAACGTAAACCACTGACATTTTGTGTAAACGTTCATACATGTTTCGATTAGTTGTAAGCAAATTTTCTGAACAAAATACTCTCTTATATTAAACTCTAATCAATTAACTCTCGATTTCTCGAATTTAGTTATCAATTGAAACAACCTTGATTGTAGGAGCATATTTTATTCTTCTCAATGGTATTCACCATAAATAAACAACAAGTACAGTTCGATTCGAAACGAAATCAATCATACGAGGCGCCAGTCTTGCATCGTTTGCAAAGTTAATGGACATTCTGACAGATGTAAAATAACGTCAGACGATACGTTGACGGTTTTGCTATAATTTTAAACCTATGCATCGTATTGGATTACGTCCAGATCCAATTATAGTTGGGCGAATCGAAATAGCATGACTCATAGACAAAGACCTTGTTCTAATTCAAAACGAAACACGGAAAAGCTGTGGACCGTATCGAGTCTCCTCGCGGATTCTCAGAGCGGCATTATATGCCCGAGGCAGAACGCGGTTATTTTTGCGCGTTTGTATGGCAGGGAATTCCAAAAAGATAGTAACGAACGCGAGCATTCGAGCGCAGAGTACATTTTCCTAAATAAAAGAAAGTGACATCGAGTATTTCTCGGGCAGGATTTTTCTATGCGCTGACAAAAATCTGAAAGTTGTTCGTTTCAATTCCAACGGCTTCCTTTGTACAATTCCTTTTTCTTTCTAAATAGGTTAAACATTCTAAGCGAACAAACCTTTCAACGGTGATCTATACTTTTTTTTTAAATATCAAACAAACTGGATACACGAAAAGAAGTAATTTTTCTTTTGACAGGAATAATGAAAATATTACGGATATCTTGTAACAGAATAAACAAAATTTATGAATACAAATTTGGACTGTATCTCGATATTATACAGGTTAATGATAGTAATAAAATATATAAAATCGTCCATTAATTTTGCAAAGAATATCACAGAGATAGGAATTTAACCCCCCTCACAAATATAATCACTTTTTGTTTTGTTAGAAAACATGAAATTCGTGAAAGCCGCTTTCTAGAGGCCTACTCTGCCCCTTCACTGTTTGGGGTCCCGAAGCCATAAACGTACACCGTTTATGGTAGGAGACTAATACCTAAGAAACACCAAAAGGCTTCCTGAGGAATTATCGATGAAAGAAAAAAAAAACTTAATATTTCGAAAGATGTAAATTTTAACTACAAGATCCTCGTATTAAAGAAAAATCTAATTTTACTGTACAAAATCGTTAAAATTTTCCTTGGATTAATAACATCATAAGAGGACAGTGTTTTTCAACAATTAAAAACATATTTAAAATTACACTGAACATCTAGTATATCGAAACTAATTTTACATCACACGATTTTCGTGGGATAATACGCAAGATGCACTCTACAACTACAAAGCTTTTTATTTGGATAAATTTCAAATCCGTAATAACATAAATATGCGTACACGTATCTAATGCACCTAGTATAATAATTCTCTGCTTTTAGGTATTAATAATTTTTCTTTCTAATAACGAGACGTAACGATGGTGTCTGTTTAGGTGTAA